GTAAGGTGCCGTTGCTCCTAAACGAACATGGGGACCCCTCATTTTTATTTCAAAATTTAAGTTCCTATAATATAAACCATCAATAGGCAAAGTTTCACAAAAATCTCAGTGCAGGTTCTATTTCAGTGCAATGACCTTAAATGTCATAGCCTGCGAGCAGGCTCACGTTGGAGCACAAGCGCGCGCGGCCTAGCCGCAAGACGAGAAAGTCATTTTCTTGGGGTCTCTTCACCAGACTCCTTCCCGCCGGATCGCTCAGCTCTTCGCCGCTCGCGTGTGTGACGCATAGGTGAGCCTGCTCGCAGGCTATTTTGATCTGAGCAATCAAACATTAATTAGATTGCATTTTTAGCATTTCTGGCAAGAAATCAGTCCTAGATGTCATGTCAGTATTCCACAAGCCGGGCGGTGAACAGAGAACTACATATATTTTTTCTTTCGTATATAATATTTCTGATATAGGTCAACCTGTCGAGAGTGATATTGAAACAAAAAGTAAATTCAGCTACATGGAAGAAAAGAAATATCAAATTCCTACTCCGCGATCTTATATATAAATGATGAAGCTAATAAGTTGCTTTTAAGGCAGTTTGCGATAATTTCCTTCCTATGAGTTTGAAAATGTGCCAAACATGGCAACAAGCATGAGCGCCTCTTTGTACCACAGATATCCCAAGGTTTTTTGGAGTCGTGAACATTATTATATGACATAATTTTAACGATCATATGTATCAGTTTAAAATATGGAAAAGAAATTGAATAAAAACGACTTATTTCGACTCTTCGGTGTGTTACTTTTGTTTCTATGCCGTTTTGAGCGAGTTTCAGTTTCATCGTTCTTATAATCATCTCTAGACTCGAAGTAAATCGATCGTTTTTATTCAATTTCTTTTTCATATTTTGAACTGTTACATACGATCATTACACAAACTCTTACATTTACGCTGTTACGCAATGTCATGTAATAATGTTCACGGCTCCCAAGGAGCTTGAGATAACTGTGGTTGTACATAGTCATCCAATAAAAGCATTTTAGTACCCAGGTTTCCCCTTCTAGTTGACTCCTACCATCCTGAGTATGTGACGTCTCGCAATGACGTCACAAGATGACCTTTGGTGCTGTGAAACGCACTCAAAATAATGAAATTAAACCGAAATAACATTCCGTTTTCTTTACTGGGTCTTATAAAAGCAATTGTTCTTTTAATAGATTTAAAACTTCTGTTCACGCTTACATTAATTAATGCCAATTCAGAACAATTCAGAAAGCAGGTTTTTAATGAAGTGAGCGGTTGCTAATAATTTTTAACGAACAAAAATATTTCCATGTGGATAACTCACATCTTTTAACTGATTTGCCCCGTTTGTTCCACATGGATCATGGGTAGGCCAATTATTACTCGTGTCACCATCGAAGTAGTAGTAGTGACTGCCTCGGCTGAGACTCGGTCCCCTGCTGTATAAACGGACGAAGTTCGGCACCACACCAGCACACCGCTTTGAAATCTGTTTAACCACTCTACAAGTGATTGACCCCCCCTTCAGTTGCACCAAGTCTCCAGTGCCTTCCTTGCATGCGATCCAGTTGTTGATGTTGCTCTTGACCAGGAATTCTTTGCCAATGGTGCGCCACAAAGGAAAGTTCATGGCCTCGTAATGTGTCTCACTCAGTGGAACTGTTGTAGACACTCGAGTGTTAGCTCCACTGGCTGTCCAGCTTGGACGCGGCGTTACAGCGTTTGCGCTACTATCGAAATTAGTGTAGGCTGTGAAGGTATAACTCCAAACTAGTGTCCAGCCTCCACCATCCGTCTGTTGGTCGCAATAGACCTGGAATGCGTTACCACGGGAACCACCATCTGGATCTATCCAATAGACTCCTGATACGACCGAGGGCACTTTAAGCTTCAGGTCTTGACAGTTCTTTACTGCGAATTCTTTAGATAGTCCTGTTAGTGCAAAGCAAATCATTCATTCAAACAACGTACCTCTCTACCAATAATTAACCCAATAATTAAAACTGTAACAAAATTCTTTCATCTGAATTACTATCAGCACACTCGACTGTAACCCAGGTAGGACAGTGTATGGGTCACATGTATAAGTGTAATTTTAGGTGCATTTTGTCACTGTGTTTTGGAGAAATATACTTGAAACTCAACGGAAATGTAGCTGTGTGTTTAAAAATGTTATTGTTTTGATCAATCGCTAACAGGACCTCGATTGGTCCAATTCTGTCTATAATCATACGCGTGATTAAACAAATCGGACCCCACTACGTGGTCTGATTTTCGAGGTAGTCATTCGTATTACATTACTATTCAACCAAACATTAAGTAAACAGCCAACCATCAATCAATCAATCAATCAATCAATCAATCAATCAGTCAATCAATCAATCAATCAGTCAATCAATCAGTCAATCAATCAGTCAATCAATCAGTCAATCAATCA